AGCTGGCAGGCTCTGGCCCACAGCTGTCAGCAAGTTGTAATTGCAGACTGCCTTCTCTTAATTTAAAACATTATCCAAGATATGTAGAAATAAAGGGGATTGCAAGGGACAACAGATAACCATATATTAACAAATTGGACAATCTCGATAAAATAGGCAAATGGTTAGAAACACATTACTAAAAACTGACTTGTGAAGAAATAGAAATCTGAACATACCTTTAACTGTAGTAAGGGAATTGAACAGATAAGTAAAGCAACTCCCTATTATGTTTCCTTGTTGTATTTTGAGTCTTTGGTCCCTGTCTAGTGGCACTGTTTCAGAAGGCTGTAAAATCCTTAGGAGGTAAGATCTAGATTGAAAAGTGAGTCGTTAGGAGTTTTTCTTGAATGTTAGTAGCCTAGACCTGCTTCTGGCACTTCTCCGAGCTTCCCAGGTATAAGCCATAGGCATGAGCTGATCCTGTAGCTTCCCTGCGATACTGGATGCCTCCCCTCCTACACTATGAGCAAAAACACCCCTTTGCTCCCTTAAGTTGCTTTCCCCAAGAGCAGTAACTAATACACCTCTGTGCTGGCTAATTTTGTGTTAGCTTGACACAAGCTGGGGTCATTTTGGAAGAGGGAACCTTAACTGAGAAAATGGCTCTGTCAGATTGGCTGGTGGGCAAGCCTGAGATGCATTGTGAGTGGTGCCACCCCTTGGCTGGCAGTACTGAGTGGGGCATGAGGACAAGCCAGTAAGAAGCGCTTCTCCATGCCCTCCGCATCAGTTCCTGACTCTGGGCTCCTGCCTTGAGCACGTGTCTTCTCTTCCCTCAGTGATGGGCTGTGAAGTGGAGCAGCTGGAATAAACCCTTTTCTCCCCGAGTTGCCTTTGGTCATTTTTAAAAATTGCATCAATAGAAACTCTTCCTTCCTAACAGAGGAAGTTCAGCTGACTGAAATGGGGAGCCGACCAAATACAAACTGATACCTCTTCTCAAATCCTTCCCAAGAACTGAGGAGATGGGAAAGTTTCTTGATTCATTCTAAGAGGCCAAGAGTCTCACTACCAAAGAAGGACAAAGACGACACAAAAATAAAGAGGAAGTCATAAATCAGCATCCTTTATGGATATTGACATAATATTCTTCAATAAAATGATAGAAACTTGATATAAGCATCATTCCAAAAGAATAAAAAAGCCATAGCCAAAGGAGATTTATTTATAGAATGTAATGCTGACTCAGAATATAAAAATAAGTCAATTATACACCCCATTGACATAATGAAGAGATAGAGATGAACACACACGTGATCATCACAATTGACACATAGGAAGTCTTTGATAAAACTCAACATTCTTCTATAAAAATACTTGGCAAACTGGGACCAGAAAAGGAGACTTCAACATTTTAAAATCTCCAAGAATCTTGTTGACAACATTATAAAACACTAAAACCAATAAATACAGTGGTAAAACACTAAAACTTTCTTCTAAAATCAGGAACGAGATAAAGATGCCTGCTTTTTCCTTATCAATTAACATAGTATTTGTTGGAACTTCTAGCCCAAGTGGTGGGCCAGGAGAAACAGAAGGTGTTTGTCTTTGTTAGGGTCACTATTACTCTGATAAAACACCACAACCAAAACCAGCTTGGGAAGGAAAGGGTAATTTGGTTTACACTTACATATTATAGTTCATTACTGAAGAAGTGAGGGCAGGCACTCAAGTAAGGTGCAGACCTGGAGGCAGGAGATGATGCAGAGGCCGTGGAGGAAGCTGTTTCCTGCTTTTTCCTCATGGCTTGCTCTACCTGCTTTTCATAGCACCGGGAGTCGGCCCCACCCACAATGGGCTGGGCCCGCCCACATCTATCACTAATTATGAAATGCCCTGTGGGCTTGCCTACAGCCTGATCTTATGGAGGTGTTTTCTCTGCTGAGGTTACCCCTTCTCAGATGGCTTTAGCTTGTGTCAAGTTGACATAATACTAGTTGGCACAGGTTCTCAGTGGGAAAGGATGAAGGAAGATCACCTGTTAGTAGGTGACATGATCTTAGGAGCCTACCAACACAACGAGAAACGTGCTATCACCAATAAATGAGAGCCAGCAAAGTAGCAAAGCTACGAAATTGTTGCTCAGAAGTCAGCTGTGTTTCTTTAAACTAGCAACGGATAGTCTGACTTTATAAGGAATTTTAAAAAGCATTTCCATTTACAATAGACTTAAAAATAGTTCTAAGTAAAATTAACAGGAGACTAAAGATTTATTCATCAGAAACCATAAAATACTGCCGAAAATTTAAAGACACAAAGTGGAAAGACATCCTATTCACATGAATAAAATATTGACATCTTAATATTTTTAGAAAGTCATTGCTATCCACAGAAATCTACAAACCAGTGATGCTTTTAGCAGAAATTAAAAAAAGAAAACCCATCTGACAAAAACTATGATTTCACTGGGGACCCTCAATAGCCAAAATGACTTCAAAGGAGAACAATAAATTCAGGAGGTGGTCTCATAATTCTTGATCTCAAAAATGAATGCAAAGCCAACAGTAATTAAAGCAGTGTGATATTAGCATACAGGGTGGTGATCTATGCACCAGTGACATAGATTAGGCAGCTCTGAAATAAACCTCCCAAAGACGGTCAAAAGATTATCAACATGAATGGCAAAAGCACTCAGAAAAGTACAGGCTTTTCAAAACTGATGTTAGGGGCTGGATCTCTCCATGCAGAAGAACAGTAATGGATCCTAATCTTATAGCATATCTAAAAGATAAAATGGATTTAAGTGTGTGTGTGTGTGTGTGTGTGTGTGTGTGTGTGTGTGTGTTTGGTTTTTCGAGACAGGGTTTCTCTGTAGCTCTGGGACCTGTCCTGGAACTGTCTTGTAGACCAGGCTGGCCTTGAACTCACCACCACCGCCCAGCTGGATTTAATTTTTAAAATTTATTTATTTTACATCCTGACTGCAGTTTCCCCTTCTTCTCCTCCCAGCCGCTCCCAGACATCTCCCCTCTGCAAGCCCCCATCCTCTCCTCCTCTGTTTCTTTTCAGAAGAGGGCAGGCCTCCCATGGATATCAACAAAATATGACATGACAAGTCGCAGTAAGGCTAAGCCCCGCTCCCCCCGTATTAAAGCTGGGCAAGGCAATCCAATATGAGGAATAGGGTCCCAGAAGCCAGCAAATGAGTCAAAGATGGAAATTCTGGGGAAAATGAAGCAGCTGGGAATCATCAGTGCCGTTGAGACAGTGTGAGCCCCTCATACCTGGGCCCCTAATGGTGCAGTTCAATGATTGAAGCTGGACACTAAGGACAGTGCGGGAGAAGAACGGTGACAGCGATGGCGGGGTGGTGAGAGCATCTCAGAAACACCGGTAGACTTGCTTTCTGGAGGCTAGTGCTAGTCACTGGTTGGTCAGCAAGCAGGAGCCTGAGAGCTGCTACCACCGCTCTGCCCTGCTGGGGAGGGGATCAGTCATGCCCTTTGGTTTCAGTTTGGTCCTTCACCTGTTGCCCGGCACGGACTGTGGTGGTTCATTATATAATTTTATAGTCAGACCCGTATGCCGACACTTCCTCTGAACAGCTGGGGCAGTTGATATTTTTGCTACTGAGTTCATGATGTCCTGCGAGTATCTTAGGAACGGGTTGTATGTATTACACAAAACAATGTGTTTAGCAATGGAGTGAGTAGTCTTATTCGAATGCCACCACAGTGTGGGCTTGCACCCGAGAGCCTGGGTGTTTCACTGTGGACTTTACAGTTTGGGGAAAGTCAGTCATTTCCAGAGGTCAAATATACATGTTCCTAGAAGTTCAAAAATGTAGGCATCCCCTTCCTCAGCAGATTTTTCTGTGGCATTAACAATGTTCATGGCCCAGGAGACCCTTGTAAACAGCCAATAATCTGAACTCAAAAGGCACATTACCAAGGAGTGCTTTGTAAACACGTTTATGGTGTGGGGGAATGGCGCCCCGGTAATGTAGGTATTCGTTTGTCACCTTGATAGTCTAGCCTAACTGGTTTTAAAATTTTCTTTTATAAGTCAGGCAGTGGTGGCAAATGTCTTTAATTTCAGCACTAGGGAGACAGAGGCAGGTGGATCTCTGAGTTCGAGGCCAGCCTGGTCTACAGAGCGAGTTCTAGGACAGCCAGGGCTGTTACACAGAGAAACCCTGTCTAGAAAAACAAAAACAGGTTTTTTTCAGTTATGTATGCATGTTTATATGAATATATGCATGCATATAGGTTTGTTTGTGTGCCCTGGCACATATGTGGCGGTAAGAGACTAACGTTCAGGGGTCACTTCTCTCTTGCTACCGTTTGGATGTTGGGGACCAGACTCGGGTCCTTGAGCTTGACAGAAAAGGCTGTGCTATTTTGCTGGCCTTGGCCAAACATTTCTTGAAAAGATTGCTCCTAGTTATCAAATTGTATCTGTGAATCTTCAGGCTGGAGAATAAACTCAATAGAAGACTTTGGAAGGTCATCCGGGCTTTGGAAATTGTAATTGATGTTGAGAGGTGACCTGGATGTGGGTGGTGTCTCTGTGGCAACCGTAGACGTCAGGCTGTGGTGCTGAGGGGGATGGCGGCACTGGGTCCTGGCGGGCCATGATGATGCATTCTTTTGGGGAGGTCTCTCAGAGCTTTACTAGTGCAGGGACTCTCCAGGCGTAGACACCGACTGAATATAGTTTGACGGTCACTTAAAGCATATGGTTAAATGAACCGGTATTTGACTTCAGATCCATTACGTCCAGGAGCTAAGCCTTCTAATTTTTCTCTTGGGTCATAACCTTTCACTTAGATGTGAGGCCTGCAAGGGGATCAGAGATTTCCTGTTCTGTGCTTTAGAAAAGTCAGCCATTGTCCAAAATGCAAAGTGATTCTTGTTTTAAAAACTTGGGTTTAAAGTTTTTTGGGCTACTGCTGTTATTCTATGAAACAAATGATTTTCTTGTCTCTTGTTCCTCACTTTTCTCCTCCCCACCTCCAGGAAGGGTGTCTGTGGCCTTCTGACAGCTCCGTGCAGCGGCCAGGGGCTTCAGAGGTAAGGTGGAGGCTGTGGGAGAAGCCATGGCCTCAGCCTTGGATTTGAAATCAACCTTAGGATGAAGTCATTGTTTGGTTAAAAGGGGGCAAGGAGGGATTTCCCCTTAGAACCATGTGTCTACGCTCTATGCAGAGAATAGGTTGAAAATGGTTGAACATTGAATTACCTTAGAACTACCAGCTAGACTTTGCAAGTGTAGGCATAATTTGTACATGCCGAGTAGCATGAATTCTTCTTTCATGTCAAATTTAATAATAAAACATTTGAGGCAGGGTCTCAGCATGTAGCCCTGGCTGGCCTGGAACTTGCTGTGTGAATTAGGCCAGTCTTGAACTTAAAGATCCACCAGCTTTTGCCTCCCAAGCTTGGGTTAAAGGCATGCCCCATAATGCTCATCGATTATCCAAAATTTTAAAGTGTTTTATTATAAATGTAAAAATAACAAAACGTAGGCATACAAAGATCATGGAACAATCAGATGTGTGGAGCCCAATGTAGGTGTTTGCCGTCAGACTAAATCAAGTTCTCTCAGAACTTCTCAATATCTGCCTGTAGAAAAATAAAGAAGCCGTAGTGGTCTCCTTCTGGCCTACACAGACTCCATGTTGGTCTTTCTTAATGTAACTAATATAAATATCTATATGCTAGAGGTTAGCAATAAAATGCAGACATAAGATAGATTTATTTAACATGCCTAGCTCATAGCGTTGAGGAGAGTTGGGCTTAGAATAAACTTTAGAAAGTAAGACATTGTCTAAATTTCATTAAGAGGATCAACAGAGAATTCTAACCTAGAATCATTCAGTTGGAGTTTTCATGTTGCCACAGTTTTACACAACATCTTGTCATTCTAGTCAAGTTTTATATTTGATTATAGAACAAATAAAACTCATTTGTTTCTAACTTTGTCATGGATTGAATTTTTAAGATAGTGTGCTTTGCCTTTAAGTACAAAATATGGTTTGATACCCATCAGTGGTTATATGTATATACATTAATATATCAATCTACAGATGTAGCTGTACACATGCATATAACATTTTTCTTCTAGGAGATAATTGGGATAGAGGGAGATTTATTTATATAATGAACTTTTGCCTTAGCATGAGAAGTAATGGGCTTTATTATGTTATTTTCATACTTAATGTGTCTTTATCCATATTTGTTTCCCTCCTCACTGTCTTCTCTTCTTCTCCTCTCTGACTGGTTCCCTTCCTTCCCCCAGTAGCCTCTTCTATTCTTATCACATATTTCTATACCCTCTATTTCTCCTCCACTAAGGTTTTTCTAGTGTTCCCTTTATAGCTTCATAACTCCTCTTCCCTAGACCCCCTCATTGTAAACTAGGATCTTCATATAAGAACAAAACATGAAATTTCTGAGTTTGGTTTATTTTACCTTACAATGATTTCAGTTTCATCCACTTTCCTGCATACATCACAATTCCATTTTTCTTTACCTGTTCAATGTGTTTAATCCATTCATCTGTTGATGGATATCTAGGCTGGTTTCTATTCCCTGGATATTGTGAATGAGATAACAATAAATAGCGATGTGTAAGTATTTCCTTGGTGTGTTCCCCTGGAGTACTTGGTACCTGTTTGTAAGGTTGTATAGCTGGGAACTTTTGGTAGTTCTGATTCTTCCATACCCATATCCACAAGTCCTGTTTTGTGGAGCAGGCCTTAACTTCAATCAGCAAGTAATTGGATATCCCCGGAACATCCATGCTACCATTGTGCCAGAGGGCTTACTTGCTCTTGTAACTCAGGGTTCATATGTGGGTAAGGTGGAATTGTTTGCTTTTTCATGGTGACTAAAGTGTTGAACATTTTAAAAGGCCTCTCAGCTATTTGCTCTTCTTCTTTTGAGAATTCTATTTTGTTCTGTGCCCCAATTTTAATGGGGGTGTTTGTTTCAACACTGTCGGATGTACAGCTGGTAAAGATTCCCTCCCCGTTCTGTAAGCTGTCTCTTTGTCCCAGTGGTCGTGTCCCTTTGCTGTGCAGCTTTTTCGTGTCATTTGCCAATCGTTGGTCTACACTACAGGGATCCTGTCAGAAAATTCTTTCCTGTGCCTACAATTTGAAACCTATTTTCTACTCTGTTCACTCGCACTTTCAAGGTGTCAAGTGCTATGCTGAGGTCCTTGGTCCATTGGGAGTTGAGTTTGGTGCAGGGTAAATGATAAGGGTCAACTTTAACCCTTCTACACGGAGCTATCCAGTTTCATCAGCATCAGTTGTTGAAGATGCTGTCTTTCTCACAATGTCAAAGCTCAGGTGGTTGTGGGAGTGCAGGCTTAATTGGGGTCTTCAGTCTGTGCTGTCAATCAGTGTGTCTGTTTTTATGTTATTACAATGCTATTTTCTGTAGTATAACTTCAAGTCTGGGCTGGTGATAACCTCTGCAGTTTTTATCGCTCAGGATTATTTTCGCTTTCCGTATCTTCAAGCACTAATATCCTCTTTTCCACTGAATCATTCTGTTAGCGAGGCTTCCCACGGAGCTTTTTATTTGGCTTATTAAATTTTCCGTTTCACATTTTATTTCAGTTGGGCATTCAGAAATGCTCTTTACTAAATTGTTCTTTCATATCCTGATTTTTTTTCCTTGTGTCAGTCAGCAGATTGTGTTTTTGTGGTCTTCATTCTGGCTTTTATGCATATCCTCTTTGAGTCAGGCTTGAGCATGTTTATAATTAATATTTAGAAACCATTAAATTGCCTTTCCAAGGGGACATAACTATCGGAGTCCTTGTTTTTGGAGGAGACATTCTGTCTTGTTTATTTCTGGTATTTGTGCTTTGCAATGGGCTCCAGGTACCTAAAGTTAGGTCATGTTTTTCTTTTGTCGTTGTTTGTTTGCTTTGTTTTGTGGTTTTGGGTATGACTATCTGCCCTACCTTTGTTGAGTAGACATTTGGATCTCTGTTTGCTATTACCCCAAATTGTCAGATTATGGAATAGCTGGTGTTTCGAGTTCAGTCTTGGAGCTACTAGGTGTTGTTGTGTGAATGGAATCCCAGATCACCTGAGGCTAGGGCTATGACTTGCTTCTGAGTCCAGAAACTAACTTTCTATAGAGTTAGAATGTTCTCACTGCAGCAGGTTCCCATAAATCTGTGGAAGGTTCAGTCAGTTCTGCCGGTGGTCCGAGGTAAAGGATTGGAGTCACTGTGGTAGTTGGTGGGGTGTGTAAGACTTGAGGTTCTCAAGACAGTGGGGATGGAGCTTCAACAAATGTGGGGATCCCTACCAGGGGGTTGTGCCCAGACACATGCTTCTCAGGCAACAAGGGTGGCATCAGGGCTTGAGTGGGGTCTCTACCTGAGGTGTTCAAGGAACCTAGCCTTGAGGTGACAGGGGTGAAGTTGTGTTGAGAGTGGGGTTCCTATCTAGGATGAATGTTACAATGCTATTTTCATTTGCATTGCCCTGATGGCTAAGGAGGTTGAACACTTTCTCAAGTATTTATTAATCAGTTCCTCTTTTGAGTGATGTCCATCCAATTGTTCACTTATTGATTGAATGGCCTTCTTGGTGTTTAGTTTTTAGAGTTCTTTAGTCTAGATATTCCCAGTCTGATGTGGAGTTGGAAAATATTTTTTCCATTCTGGGGTCTGTATCTTCACCCTGGAATTTGTTTCCTTTGCTGTGTAGGGGTTTTAAACTTCATGTAGTTTTTCCCCCTATTAATTCTTGTGATTATTTTCTTTGTTGATGAAATTCTTTTAGCAAGCCTTGCTAATGCCACCATCTATCTCCTTGTTTAACCTGTGTTTTCCATCAGCAATATAAAAATTCAAGTCTTTGACCCATTTTAAATTGATTATTGTATAGTATCAGAGGCGGGGATTTTGTCTTGTTCTGCCATATATAGAAATCTAGTTTTCCCAACATTATTTATTAAGGAGGATATTTTTTCCTCCGAGGAATTTTTTTTTTACATCTCTGTAGAAAATTAGGTGGCTGTAGACATTTAAGTTTATCCTAGGTCCCCTAATTCTCCCATCGCTCTACATGTCTATATTTGTGCCAGACTTTGCTGGTTTTGTTGTATGGCTCTGTTGTATAATTTGATATCTGGAATTATACTTCTAGGCTTACTCTTTCTACTAATGATTGTTTTGCCTATCTTGGTTATTTTATGCTTCCATATGAATTTTAGGATTGCTTTTGCTAGTCTGTGAAGAATGCCATTGGGTTTTGTTAGGCATTGTACTGGATGTGTTGATTGTCTTCAATAAGGCAGCCATTTTCCCAGTAGTAAGTCTGCTAGTCCAAGCAAAGTCTTCCTGTTGTCTAATGTCTTCTCTTCCTTTCTTTGCTGCTTGCAAAACTTCACTTTAAGCTACATTTATGTAGTGGCACACACTTTTAATAACAACACTTGGGAGACAGAAAGCAGGCAGCTCTCTAAATTTAAGTCCAGCCTAGGCTACAGAGTAAGACCCTTTCAGCACACACACACACACACACACACACACACACACACACACACACACAC